GACACATCTTCTGCTGTATCTACAGACTGACATCTGACTTTGCTCAAATTTCCAGACTGGAAAAATTAAAAGTAAATGAAGAATGAAAAATGCAAGATTATCACTTTGCAGTATAATCAATCCGGCCGAGGTAAAACATAGAATATAAATAAAATGCAATATTCACATGTTAAACAGATATTAGCATGTCAAGCCATGACAGCTTAGATTTTTTTTATGATGCTGCAATATATCTCTTTTTCATCAAGTCAGCAACAGCACCATTATTACAGCAGTGAACCGAAGAAGCTGCCACTCTGCAAGCTGTCATCCTATCCTAGAGGGCACAGAACTGCTGACCAGCAAACTGTATTCTCTGTTAACGTAAGGAACTACATCCAGCTACTCAGGGATCTTTTTACTCTTTTTTATTACTTTTTCTTTCTTTCAGTCCCCCTCCCCTCACCCCCATGGGTATTGTTCTCAGTATGGTAATACTTCTCTTTCCCATCTAGTCACAGTGGCATTTCTTGCTGCTTAAGTAAATGCCAGGCCCTGATGCGACTGTGCTTTGATGTTAAGCCAGCCTTGTGAAAGTCACTGGTTTAGCTGTATTAACTCACTGATTAACTCCCAGGCACACACAAAAGCACGGCAGATATATAAGTTTTAGTCCCCATCATCTGTTCCTAAGCCTTTTATGCCCAACAGTAAAGCTTCTTGGTACAGTATACAGAACAGCTGCCTGATGTATGCTACATTCTCCTGTATACTGCTTAACAATTTATGAGCCTCAGTGGTTTTCTTAAAACGCATGCCTTGCACTTGTTAAACTTTGGAACATGTTTTGCACTGCTTATTTTTGCAGTTCCTGCTATGGCTGGAAGTCTGGAAAAATTTTCACTGTCAGTCTCAATTGCAGTGCATTGCACCGCAGCAAACTGTGCAAATTAATACACTAATGTGCAAATAGAAAAATAATGAGTCCTACAGACTGAAACAAGAGTTTGCTAAAAGATACGTGTTTGCTGTTAAACTGCAAGGGTTAAAAGATGGGATGTGTCTGAACAAAGATGGTATGAAGCAAATCAAACATCCTACCATCAGAGCAGTGCCAGGAGTAACACAACTGAACAGGGCAGTTCTCTTCAGACCATTCTACAGCTTTGTCATTAATTCTGCAAACTAACTAATGGGGCTTGAAATCAACGGGATACTTACCAAGTAAGGACCAAGGACCCAAACCAGATTGTGAACACACTTTATTTCACTGTGAGAATGGGAGAGAAGGGCAACAGGTCAGGCAAAACCCAAGAACTTGTAATTTCCTTCCACCAGACTATAAGAAACTTAACAGAAATGGCTCTCCAAATGCACTATACTGTGGGTACTCTGCTTCTAAAATTGAAAGCGTAAACTTAACCTAAAAACATCCAACCAAAAGAAGAAAGAGAGCAATGATCAACCATTTCTTACGATATGAAGACTAAAAACTGTGCACGGGTTTTGTTTTACCTTGGAAGACTGCTCTAACTTCATTCTATGCGCCTTCCTCCTTTCTTGCTCTTTCTCTTTAGCATGGACTAAGACGGCCTTCAAATCTAGATGCTATTGAAATTTTTGTAAAGTCTCTCAGTGGATTCAAGCTTCTAAAAAGATATTAAAACTTATCTACCCAATTAGACATTCACTTTCTGAAAAGTTAGAATCATAGAATCACAGATTGGAGAAGACCTCTAAGATGATCAGGTCCAGCCATCCGCCCAACACCACCATGCCTACTAAACCATATCCTGAATTGCCACATCTACATGTTTTTTAAACACCTCCAGGGATGGTGACTCAACCACCTCCCTGGGCAGCTTGTTCCAAAGCCTGACCACTCTTTATGGAAAGAAATTTTTCCTAATATCCAAACTAAACCTCCCCTGATGCAACTTGAGGCCATTGCCTCTAGTCCTATCGCTAGTTACTTGGGAGAAGAGACCAATACCCACCCCACTACAACCTCCTTTAAGGTAGTTGTAGAAAGCAGTAAGGCCCCCCCTCAGCCTCCTCTTCTTCAGACTAAACAACCCCAGATCCCTCAGCCGCTCCTCACAGGAGCTGTTCTGTAGACCCCTCACCAGCCTCACTACCCTTGTCTGGACAAACTCCAGCAACCCAATGCATTCAACCAACACCCCAAGATCCTTTTCTGCTGGCCAGCTTTCCAGACGCTCCTCCCCAAGCCTGTAGCGTTGCATGGGGTTGTTGTGACCAAAGTGCAGGACCCGGCGTTTGGCCTTGTTGAACCTCATACAGTTGGCCTTGGCCCATTGATCCAGCCTGTCCAGATCCCTCTGTAGAGCCTTCCTACCCTCCAGCAGATTGATACTCCCGCCTGGCTTGGTGTCATCTGCAGACTTACTGAGGGAAGCACTCAATCCAGATCATTGATAAAGAAATTAAACAAGACTGGCCCAAAACTGAGCGTTAGGGAACACCACTCATGACTGGCTACCAGGGGGATTTAACTCCATTCACCACCACTCTCTGTGCTCGGCCATTCAGCCAGTTCTTTATCGAGTGAAGAGTACACCCATGCAAACCATGCGCAGCTAGTTTCTCCAGGAGGATGCTGTGAGGAACAGTGTCGAAGGCCTTACTGAAGTCCAGGTAGATGGCATCCACAGCCTTTCCCTCATCCACCAGGTGGGTCACCTGGTCATAGAGTGGTGAGATGAAAATGGTCCTTACTATTGGATATAACTAGTGTTCTAGTAACAGCGACTCACTTCTGCTGAAAATGATTTTTAGATATTGCAACTTAATGCTAATGTCTGTCTGGTCATCTCAATTAATTAATCCAAATTCTCACATATAACTTTGTTTTAAACAGCTTGATGTCAAGTAACATTCCAAAACATTTACTGCCAAAACACTTTAACCTATCCCAAAGATCAATGCTTATATAGGTTAAAGACTTGGAAGGGTATCTTTTTTTTTCTTTAAGAGAAATATGAATGTCTGAAATTAAGTGAACAAGGATTTTTTTTTTGCATACAAAATTAGATTAAAATAGCTATTTTTTTTAAAATTTAGATCAAGACTGAATAACTCCATCAGAATTTCGTGAAAAAGTCAACACGTGCTCACACACACCCAACACTCCTGCAGTCTATTTTCTTCCCTCTCTCACTGAATGAGAAAATTTAAGAGTTGAGGGATGATCCACAATCTGCATGAAATTCAGCACTAATCTGATACTGTAATTGCTGTCTTCTCCCTTTTATGCCTGTTTTCCCATTTGCTGTTTTCTTCCACTCCTGTTCTCAGTTTGTAATAAAGTTTATCCCGTATTTTAAAGGTAAAATGATCCATTTCACCTTTTCTAAAAAAACAGTGCACTAGTCATACTAGAAGTATCACAGGACTCTTCCCCTCCCAAAACTCAATGACTTTTTACCACAAAACGGTTAGAAAAGTCAAACCGGACAAAATTCCATACGTATCTGGTAGAACAAAAAGACAGGAAGTTGAACGCACACTAGTAGACCAAATGTTTTTAAGGTTGCTTTTAGATTTCCAAACATTTTCATATAAAATACGCAATAAAAATTGAAGTTTATCCCCATTACATGCACCCTCTCCTCCTCCCCACCATCATCTGCCTTATGTCAAAAGTAACTTTAAAATTACACTCCAACTTCTCCCCACGCTCCGCAATTGCACATTAAGACATGGACTAAAAGAACAACATAACGCTTCAAGTATGCTTCATGCCAATCGTCAATAAGAGTCATAACATTACTGAAAAAGTACACTTATTCTTGGGAAGCCTGAGGAGGACTTCCTGCAGAGTGTGGTCAAACAACATCTTAAATAGGAAAAAAGCCACCCAACCCAATCTGTATCCCGCCCTCTCAAAAAGAGTAAAGTGTAAAATGTTCTTTGGACTTAAAGAAACAGTATCAAGATTTACCATTTGAATAAGAAATAACCCCAATAGGAATTTAGTTTTACAGTGCTGCACAAACTGTGTGCATGAAACAGTAAGTCATACAGATACTGCTGTTCAGCTCTACACATACAGACTACATGTGGCATATAAGCATACACATGACATACTGGCCTGTCCAGAAACAAGATACATTTTTTTAAGGCTGGTAAATCCGAATAAACCTTTGAATCCAGAAGTATTTTTTTTTTAATTCCTTCCTCTTTTCATTGGGGGATTTGAACTTCCAATAGAAGGGTGACGATTTCATCAAGAAACCATCAGCCATATGAGAGCACAGAGCTTTGATGTGAAACTGAGTATACAAACTCTCATTTGATCATGCATAAACAAGGATCCTGATTTTAAGGAATAATGGATGGTATGAAAGAATACTCATTTTCATAGACAAGAAATCCTTCTGGAAACACAAGCAGGTTATTGAACAGTTACCAAAATCTGGAAAGTGTAAAAAGCATATATGCATGTGTGTGTATATGTTTATACACACACACGTATACATGATGTATCATATATGTATTTATTACAACATATAACTGTATAACAACATGTTTTTTTCTTTTCAAATACAGGGTTTTAATTTAGCAGTTGTAAAAAACCCAACAAAACCAGAAACAAAACCCCAAAACAAACTAAGCAGACCATATACTATACGAACAAACAAAAATGATATGCAAATAGTTTTCTGGTGAAAGTGAGTCACACACTGGCAGTGGAAAAGTGTTGAAACTCATAGTAATAAATAGCTCCAAATTAAGAATTTTCTACAACATTTCCTTAGAAGACAGGACCAGTGTTTCTTCTTTTATGATGATCCTGCAGAACATCTTCAGTCTTACATATATTTGATTTTATAACATTAAAACGGACACAAGAATGCAGACTGCAAAAGATGCTGGATTGAGGACAGTATACATAACATTTTTTGTTAGAAGTCCTACTGGTTTATTCACTAAGGCTAGACAGCAAGTCATACGATCCTATTTGGTGTGTTTTCTACCATGGTCAAGATCAGCAAATGGATAGGACCCAGGACCTGCGGTCCAACCTGCTGTGGTCCAACCCACTGTGGTAGATGAGAAACAAAATACAGGACCACTGTTTGGTCCCCAACTTTTTATCTTGTTTCCTGGAACTGCAGAAGTGGAAACAAGACTGTAGTGTTCTAAGTGACTATAGAAAGATAGCAAGAAGTGGCATTTTAACATGAATAAGTTTACCAGGCTTGTGATAGTACTGCACCAAAAGAGCACGCATGGGAGCCCACTACTTGCAACATCTGGTAGTATCATTCAATAACTCACTGACTTTAGAATACACGTATGCAATAATAAATAGATCAGTTATGTAGTAAGGCAGTGTGCTGAACATGCATTCATCTTGTGGACTGGAACACCACAGAGAGAGATACATGATAACATACACATTCATTAAGACCTAGTATTTTTGTTTGTTTCTGTGTGTTTGTTTTTCAAGGCTATCCAGGCAAACTCTTCCAGAGCATTTTCTTCTTGAGAAGAGTGGTCCTCTGAGTTTTGTCACTTTTCCTCTCCCTTATCAAGAGATGATGACTGGCTTTAAGGAAAAATAAAGCTTAAGAGGGTTGTTTTGTTTTATCCCCCCATTTTGGCTGCCTCATTCTGAATGTTTCATTTACAGAACAGTTTTTGATGCAGCCAGATGCTGAATCCTCAGGAGGTTCCAGATGTTTCCAGATAACTCTGTAGTTTACGAACTGTGGTTTTGTCCAGTGAGCAAAGATCAAAGTCAAAGGTTGTATTTGTGATATGAAAGTGTCCAGTTTCTTCTATAAGATTTACTATCTGAAAGGAAAGAAAAGATGCAGTTGAAAATTTCAGCAGTTTTACATACCCACTGAATGTATTAACATGTCACTAGGTACCATATGAAAGGCATATAACAAGTCCAATTGCCCCAATACTTGCAGGTTAAACCATTACCCTTAATACTCACTCCCTTTCTGACACAAACTATGGTCCAGACTACAGTATTTCGGGTTTTTTTTTTTCAGATCACCAACCACCATAATGCGAGGCTACCCATCGGCTGTTCCAGCAAACATTACCATTGAGAATATATTCTTCAAATGCTGAAAGAAAATCCGTGTATTTTCTAAGTCAGTCTTTTAAAAAGACAAAAAAAACCACAATAGCAACAGCCCTCCCCCCCAAGCTCAAAAAACCAAAGAAACAACAATCCAGGCAGATCTCCTTCTGGAGTATTTACTGTGTGCATAGCTGCTACGCAGGTTACTTCAGAAAATATGGCATAAGCATTTCTGAAAGCAAGGGAAAGAAATAAATCCTCATAGAATCTAGTCCGTATCAAATAAAAATGTATTCAATCGCTCTCACATCAACTGTTAGTTCACATACTAGCAGTTATTTCTTGAGTAACAGACAAATCAATTTTTTTAAACCAAATCAACCACAAAAGACTCCTACCAATGGCATAAGATCACTTCTTGCTATTTAATCTACAATCACATCTTTCATTCAAACAGGAAACAGAAGAACTGTCAGGAGTTCTTGAGAAGAACAGGGACTAAAATATCTCTCCTATGAGGAAAGGCTGAGAAAGCTGGGACTCTTCAGCCTGGAGAAGAGAAGGCTTAGGGCAGATCTTATCAATGTGCACAAACACCCGAAGGGAGGGTGTAAAGAAGACAGAGCCAGGCTCTCTTCAGTGGTGCCCAGTGACAGGATCAGAGGCAAAACTAAAACACAGAAGTTTCCCTCTGAACATCAGGAAAGATATATTTCCTGTGAGGGTGACCAATCACTGGCACAGGTTGCCCAGGGAATTTGTGGGGTTTCCATTCTTGGAGATATTCTAAAGCCATCTGACATGGTCCCAGGCAAGTGGGTATACATGTCCCTGCTTCAGCAGTGGGGGATCGGACCAGATGACCTCCAGAAGTTGCTTCCAGCCTCAACCATTCTATGATTCTGTGACATCAACAGTACATACTTAACTTGTGCCTTCCTGCAGTTTTGACATTTTTAGTCTCTGCATTGTAGTCTACATTTTTAAGGAGTGGCCATACTCAACCCTGAATTGCTCCAACAAGTAACTCCAGATATGTTAAGTTCTAGGATGTGCAGCTACCTAAAAAACCCATTGCAGCATCTTGGAAAGCCAAAGCATTATTTGCCAGACAGGGCTAACACAGTGCCATCACACTATGGCTATCAGTCTGTTCTGTGCAGTTCCATTCCAAGAGAGACACCTCAGGCAAGCACACAGAAAGGCACTCCATGCTGAAGTGGGCCTCTGGGTAGTGTCATGGACTGACAGAACACTGCACTTCTGCTCATTCCAACCATCCCTTCTGTGGCACTCAGGTTAGGCTCAACGTCCTGTTTCACAGAATCACCCTTTAATTTGAAATCCATTTAGTTCTAGGGCTTCCACGTACAGCTCCACTGAAACGCTGCTGCTAGGTATTCCTTCCTTGTTTGAGCTTTATTACTTTGACTACAATTCCTTTTCCACAGCTGGAGGAGATACACTTGAACGCACACATGGCTTACAGAGCATACCTTAACATGGCAAATCTGGTAGGAATACACCTACTTGAAAAAGAACAACGAATTTAAATGAAATATTTTGTAATTTTCTGCTCCCCATTATATAAACAGGCGTTTTTTCTCCTCAGACCATAGAACAAAAGACCATGTTGATGATAAATGTAATCACTTCATGTGTATTTTCAGGTATGGAATGACACAGCCCAGGATGGATTAAATAGAATGGCACAAGAAAAAATACTAAGAGGGAAATGCCTGTTACAGTGAAAATCCCCCTTTCCAATCACCTCCCATTTTCCAGACTGGAAAAAAATAAAAGTAAAATCTGTTTAATTTGGTTTGCAGCTGTCCAAAATTCTGAAAGTACTTAGGAACAATTCTGCTCTTATTAACACTTCATTTAAATCTGTGCCTCTTGGCTTAAATTTTTTCCATATGGGAATTTTTAATCTAAAATTGCCAGCTTCGTTTGTCCACTTGTTGATTCATAGATTCTTGCAACACTTTTCCATCTCCTACTGTTCTGCAATTGACATGAGAGAAAAAAAAATCAAATGCAAAAAAACTGATTGTTACCAGAAGCAAACTTCGATATGTGTTACTTGACATTCTTACTTTTAGCACTCTTTTTATCCTTATCTAAGAGAGAAGCTAAGGAGTCAACCCAGCCTCCTTCTGTAAGTTAGGAATCTAATCTCAGGCTTGGTCTCTGACTAGCCACTCTGTGAGACATAAATGGCTGCACAAGAGGTTTACAGAAGCCAAGGCCAAGCAGATGTAACTAAACTGAACAATTCTAACGTTTCCTTCCATTACAGTGGAAGAATACCACCCCTCAAAACCACAACAGCAACATAACTGATTTTAGAAACAAAGATTACATGAAAGTGTTAACATACATATCTTCAAACATCACTTTATATTTTAAAAAATTGATAAGCACTTTTATTGATCAGGTTCTGCTTTGGGTTTTTAAGCTCTAGGATAAGGGAAATATAAAGGTTTTAAACACATCCCTCATCCAGCCCTTAAGAAATATAGCCACTATGTCAGGGCACCTGGTAAATGAGACTGAAATGAACCCCTAATTTCTAATGGCTGTACGAAAATGTACCAAGATAAACCCACACAGCTCAATAAAGAACACCTGCCTGTGTGCCAGTCAATGAGGAATTCATGACTTACAGTATTAGCACACACATCCTTATGCTATTCAGAAATACTTGAAAAAGAATAAAAGGCTGAGATCGGTTGCCAGGAAGTCTGACAGTTATAATATTAAACACATATCATTAAAATGTTTTTATCCCGAGAGCTCAGGCTTCAAAGAACAAAAATATCCCATTTGTTCCTGGTGTAGTAAGCTTCACTTCTGCTGTAATACGCATCTCTGTTTACATAATGTCTCTCCAGCTCAGTTTCATCATTATCCATCACAGCACAACTATTTATCTGCCTTTAAACAAGCAAATGAGTGTGTGTGTTTACGGAAGCCAAAGGGCAACTAATGACACAGTCATTTTTCAATATATGGAGGGTTGTAGGCCATGTGACAGTTGCCACACCTGCAAACTGTCCCTTGCAGAAAATTCTCAGAAGATAGTTGTTATCTGAATTTGGGCACCTTGTGGACACAAGCAATGTAATTTTCAGCAGTGCTGCATACTCTCAGTTTCTTCCTTACGCCTGTGCTGTCTAGTGCACTGGCTTTAAGGAGATTTTTCACCAGCTGAAGACAGGACTTCTGATGCCTTAAAATAAGAGGCAAAATCTTACCAGAAATCTTGTTCCACTCAGGAACACACAGCTCCACCACCATTCCACTTCAACACCTCCACTGCCTTTAAAACTCTTGCAGCTATTTAGTGCTTTCTGTTGCATATTTTTGCACTCGATCCCTCTTCCCATGTAGTAACCACCATCCCTTTCCAGTTTTACCCCTTTTTCTACTGATCTTTATACTTCCTACAGAGTCTATATGCTTGTATTTCTTGGTCTAGAAGTTTCACACTCATTCCTAAAAACTCTCAGCTCTGTACTCTTTTTACTTCCGTGCTCACAGGAAGTATTTTACATTAATTACTCAGCTGCAAAGCAGTAAGGACATTTACGATGGGGTGACAGTTTATTTGTAATGTAGAGAAGGACTGACTCTCTGCAAGTTATCCATTCAATATCGTGACCATACTTCTGTAAACTGATAAAATAATATGAACTAATGAATGACAGAATATTAAGGGATTAAAGGCTTTAAAACTAAATTCCATTATTTGTTTTATAACAGCATAGACCATTTGCTGGCGCAGCCTGGCTAACAGACAACTGGTAAATACTCAGCTCTTCCACGCAGTTACCAGCTATCAGTGCAGAACTGCACCACTGTCCTAGCCTGCAGAGTTGGGCCATAAATCCAGCATGAGTCTTCTGAAGTCATGGAACGAGTAAAATAGGAAAATGTGCAAAGCAAGAAGGCTCCAAATTTATAGAAAGATTATGCAATAGTAAGAACAAAGACTAGTATTCTTTGTTTTGGGTGGTATTGTTGGGTACTATTGGATTACAAATTGTGAAGATTAAACAATAAGCACTGTTAACAAAGCAGGTGTAATTGTAGCATAGACGGTTTTATCATGTTCAGTGCAATTCTGTGCCAGTTGTGGACATGTTGTAAAAAGCGAACTATCTACCACTTCTAAATGATTGCAATCACTCATCGAATTTCTCAACACTTAGATAAAATGTGTTAAACATATTTTGTAAGCCCCTACACTATTTTGTATATATTGCCCTGCAATATACTCCCCAAAGTAAGTTTTGCTCTGAATTCCACGTTTTCTGTTTGCCATAGAAAAACCCTTCTAAATGTTTCTGAGAAAACGCTGGTCATTCCCAGGAATAAGCAACAAGTTTTTTATTAAGTCATGGTGCACAGCTGTATCCATTCTCCCATCCTCTTTTCATAATTATTGATACAGTATGTTGAAAAACATAACCATGAATTGGTAAAAAAATTAGCTCAGATAGATTTTTTTTTAGTTTGTCTTTTAGCACGACAACACAGTTTAAAGTACGTGTAAAAATTCCCTAAGCTGCACTGAAAGTGGTAATGGGCTGTATATGGTTTATACAGGCTTGAAGGGTATTAAATCTGATTACAAAGTTTTAGATGAAGGCAAAAAAATAGATGTGACTTCAGAATTTCAATGAGAACACTGTGATATTGCATGAGAGTGCTCCTCACCTGCTGCAATACATGTCTCTCTCTCAGTGTCATCAGTCTTCTGTGTAACTCTACTAGTTCATCGAGATATGCCTAGAAACAAATCCCCCCCAATAAACAACTTGTTAATTAAGTCATAGCTATGTATTTCAATGGCTTCAGATGTCTTCAAATACAATACAAATGGAAATTTCATTTTATATATTCTTCGAGCTAAACTTTCTTATTTAGTAGTCTGGCTTTCTCTAGCATAATCCAACCCAAACATAAATTTTTGCGGGTTTTGTGGGTGGTCCTTTGCTGTAGAAGATAATGTCTATATTTCAGCTGCGCTAAAAAGTGTCAAACAGACTGGGGATGCCAAACCAGCATCTTTAAACAACATCTCCCACCTTTCCACATAAGACGTAAACCCAAAGGCTCACTATCAAATCCCTCTTTTCCTCTAAAGCTACACAATTAATTTTCTGTGTTAGTAAGGAGATAGAAGTGGAGAAAGATCAAGCAAGATTAAGTCAGTGGTAAATTCCACCGTCCTTCTTGGAATGTCAAACATGTTCCACCTCTCCACCCAATTATCAACTTTCTCCTTCAGCTTGAGCCATCAGAAACCCTTTTTTCATTTAAGAACAGAGATACGGCACCAGGTTAAGAAACCAAAAAGTGTATGGATCAGGCCACTGAAAATCTAGCAACAGATACTGAAACTTTAGTCTCCTTTATCACAAAGTTGACACTAATACCTGTAAAACATGAACCTTCAGAGGAACTTGTCCACATTGGGAAACTGTGCTTTGCTCACTCACACAAGGACTTAGAGCTCTTACCCATGGCCAGCTGACATGATTTTCAACAAAACTGTCTGTCTCAGTGTTAAATGGTAACTGTTGCTTCCTATCATTCTGGTTAATGTGCTGAATTACACTGCCACTTCCTAATGCACAGGCTTCAGAGAGGATTCTAGAAAATATACAGTTTTTGTTGTTGTTAATTGATTTATTGGCTAGGAATACAGCTGTGAATTCTCATCTTCAAAAATTATCACTTCATCTGTGAAGCACAATGCAAACTCATGGTGGAGAGTAGATAAATAATAGATGGCAGATTCCCAATTAGTGACATTCACCAAATAACCACTTGTACTGAAGAGAAGGGAAACACTTTCAAAATAGCACAGAAGGAAGAATTATAGAAAAGAGGAGACAAAGATCAGCATCTAAAGGAAACCCAAAGCAAAGATGTACTAATTACTAAGATTTTCATTCTGTAACACAGGTTAGTGTTTAGTAAATACATTAATATCACATTCTGGACTAATTTACTCTTACCTCATTCTCACTTACCTTATCACAATCCCCATTTTTTATTTGTTTATCAGATTTGTTTTGCTTTATTGGACTTTTCACTTCGAAAATCTGGAAAAGAAAGAAAATCCATTAAAAATTAAATGCATCATTGGATACAATTACATATGAAAATTCTGCTATCAGTTAATAACACAAAGAATATAACAACTAGACAAAATGTAATAAAAACTCAAAACTGAGCTTTTAATTCTTTAATACATACAACCAACTCATATTTTTCCAGAAAAAAGCAGCTTACAGCAGAAAAATCTGAGTTGCTGTAATGAGGTGATATTGATATTATTAATCCTTAAAAGAACTAATTTCATGTCATTTAAAGCCTCCTAAACATTTTTTTTTGTATCTTTTGCATGCTAGTAGGATAAGAGGTCTGGTTTTGCAGATACAAAATGATGTTGAGGTAGTCTCCAGTGCCTTTTAAATGTGACATAATGAGTATATTTTTCCTTTTCTCTTCCCCCCACCCCCCAGTGCTGTGTCTTTCCTTCTACAATAGAGATTTTAAAATATAAACCGACCGCATGAGTTGTAACTGAAAAAAGTGTTTGATGGTAATTTTTCTTGCACTTATATGGTACCCTTCCTTCAATGCCATACAAAGATATTTACTACCATACATACAAACCAAGAATGCCTCATCCAGTACTGAACCACCATCAAGAAGAACATGTCAACACCATGCTTAATATGAAAATTATAGGACTAAAGTGAAGAATATTTTGGAGAAACAGAACTGGTCATTCGTAACCTGGAATATGATCCATTCTGAGAAATATCAAAGGAAAATAAATGATCACAGATGATGGGAGATTTTGTTTCACATTTCATTGTAAGACTAACATCATTAGCATGATTATCTCCAAAACCACATTGGACAGTCACAACACAGGACAAAACTCAGCAAATAAAACAAGGAAATAAGGCCTGTAAAAACAAGTCTTCAAGACTAGCAAGAAGCCTCGCCCACAGCTTTCTGTGAGTTCACTCTCATTTCTACTTTCCTTGGTATAAATGACAAGGACTGCACATATGTTCCCCAGGCTGACCAGCACTGTAAGAATACAGCAGGCAGGCAGCTACCTCCCTGTATAGGAAAAATCACTGCAGATCTCAGTTAATCTTACATAAGCATTTACTTAGCGAAGAGTGATGCATGGCCAGAGAGCAAAAAAATGCCAATTCTTCAATTCAACACCCGCTGGGGTTACTGCTTTGTAGGCCAGTGGAAGAAAAAGTCTTGTTTTGAAAAAAACCAGACCTCTGGGCATGGACCCAGTATCTTTTAGATAGTTTTCTTGTTTTTAAAGGAAGAAAAATCTTGGTTTCAAACAGAACCGTAGCAACGATACAGTATATTTTTAAAAGTTGCTTCCTTACAGTGTTTTTAACGTGCAATTCAAATCTAACAGCTTAAGCACTCATTTAGATGAGACACAGCACCAGTCACATCTGAAGAAGCTTACAGAAATATCAACTCTGTCTTAGCTCTTTAGTTGTATGAATGGACTTAGTCAACACAAGCCTGATTTCATCAGTCAAACGCATCATCATGGCAAGCAGCACTATGCTACCAAGCAGAGATTTCAAGTGTGGCTACAGTCCATACAATTTGAATTCTCATAATGCTTCCCTAAAATCCTGATTTTCAGCTCTATTATAAAAATGGAAGAAGGTATGTGACACTCAATTTCAGCTGGCACACTGCTATTGTTTGGAGTGTCTAAGTGTGCAGCTAGACCTTCTGTTATATCACCAAAGAGGAAAGTAACAAGAAAGATGTGACTGAATGGGCTGGTGATACTGAGATTTACACTTACCTAACAATTACATTGCCTCTGTAGAAGTTAGCCTTCATTAAACAACAAGGCATAGACAAGTATTTTATTTTTCTTGTGCTTATGTCTCTAGTAAATGCAATATTCTTCATCATTATAGTTTAGTTTTTTCCGAAAAGACTGTCTCTTAAAAAGTTGTAACTTTTGTACAGATCAACTTGGAAAAGCCTACACAGTTTCTGGTGTAAAATAAGAATGCTTTCTGGACATGGAACTTCCGTCCTCTCTCTGTTGACAAACTACATCCTAGGTTTTTCTCTCCACAGTGTATTTGAACTTAACTGACACGAAAAACAATGTTTTGGTTTTGCACTATGAGTAACTTTGTATTGGAAACCTTATTAGGAAAACAATGACAAGTATATAATTTCTGCCAGATAACTGAAGCAGTTAACCTTAGAGATATAGTAAAGATTCATCAATGAAACTCGCCATCTAAATCATAAACTTTTGTTAATATATGTAGACACTATTCTAAACATATCAATACTGTAAGCAGCAACTTATTGCCAGTCAGTAAATTTCATGACTCCCTTATTTTATAAATTATGACTTTTTTTAAATAGTATTAACTTTTATGTTTAATTTTTATATTTAGAGATCCTTACTTTATTGGTGACTGGGAGTGTGGTAACTCCCTAACTCTAATTCTTATTTGTCCCTGATGTATTTTGTAGCTCTAGGTTATTTTATTTCTTTTCTCTGAAAAACAGAACAACCCTACTTTCCTATCTTAAAAATAACAATAATCTTTGCTCTTACATACATGGAACAAGTACTCTGACAGTGAAGTAAAAACTATTGTCTCCTAGTGAAGTAAAAAATATTGTATCTTCTAGATAAACACTGGTGGAGGAGAGTGGAAGAGATTAATGAGTAAAATTCTGAGATGTGAACTGCGTCTACTGCTGATAAACACCCAAACCTGTATCAATTTTACGACTGATGCCGTAAAGCCAGTTTGCATCATTTACCTTACAAAGCTAATTCATACAGAAAGGACAAATTTCTTAAACTACTGATGGAAACATTACTTTAGCCTACAGTATTTGCTAAACCAAATACCACTTATTCTGAAAAAAAAAAACCAAAACCAAAAAACCCTTCTGTCAGTTTACAGACTAAGTAACTGCACTGAAGTAACCAGAACATCATTATCAGCCCCCTCAAGGACTGCATTTATGAATCCTGATTTACCTGGTTGTTGTTTGTTTTCAGTAAAGGTGGTGCTGGTTCATGATGTAGTGGCAAGGAAGCTGAACTGCTGTCACTGTCACTGCCATCACTCAGGCTAACTCTATGGAAAAACAGAGCCAAGACATTACACCTCCAGACAAAGGGCTGTTAACAGGGGTGAATCGAGTTGCACTCTGAAGTAGGACACTAAGAATGGCCCCTCGCCAAGCAAGCCATCATTAATCAAGGTCACGTGGAGGAGAGATATCAGAGCTGGGCCGCGCTCTGGAAAAAGCTCTGTGCAGCACAGAGAATGAGGCTGTCTCCCTGCACTTCGCTGAGACGACATGTTCGGTCAACAGCAGCTGACTTTACGGAAACGGTTAAATACTTAGAACTTAAAACTGCTGTTCCCAGCGTTCCTGGAGCAAGTCTGTCTCTCAGTTCACAGCCGCATGAAAGGAGGAAAATGTTTTAGAGAGAGACTTCCCTGCTCTTCCAAAAGCTTTCTAAAGAGCTGTACTTCCCACTTGGACAAGTGTTTCACTGGAAAGTTCCTTGTTTCTCATCATAAATAGCACTCTTTTTCCTTGCTAAAATTTTAAAACTTAGTGTCTCAGGAAAGGCCACATGAAAAAGCTCAGCTCCTAGTCAGTCTCACCCTTCATTTACTTAGGAACAACAGGGAATATTTATTTGTTGGAAGAAAAAAAAAATAGTTATTTGGGATAAAAAGAAGGCAGAGAAACATCAGCCGTAAGGTTTTGTTAAAAAAATTAAACAAAAATCTCCACACTTAGAGACAAGTTGAGCTTAAGACAACCCTTTATACAATCACTGACATGAACAACTTCTCAAACTGCTAGTCATCTTGGTCTTTTTCTCCTTGATTCCAGCTGCTAAAGTGCACCAGGGAAGCAGCTGATGTTCATTAAAGTTTTCCTATTACCTTTCCAGTTAAGCAATAGCTGACACTGGCACTCAGGTGCTGTGCACTCACAGCAGACCCATGGGGATCGGACAAAGAATCCACTACAAAAAGGCTCGAGAGAGACTGTTCCAGGTTTTCCATAACCTCCATCAACATTCAGATGGAGCTTCAAGCTGCCTGAAGAATAGATGATTTCTGGAACGCACTCTTAAGGTTGCAACTAGAATGCAGAATCTTTTTTTAAAACAAGTAATTTCTGTGATAGATGCTTGCTTTAATTTCTGTCTGCACTTGTACACATTAGCTACTGCATGCAGCACAGAAACTACTTGAAATTCAAATTTCATCTACTCTGATCCAATTTAACAGCCTAATCTAAAACTGGTAAGCAGAGATCTTGAAAGTGAGACACTATGTACAGAACAGCTCATACAGCAATTGAAGGACTTAATTTTATCTCATTTATGCCAGAGAGTAATTATGACTACTCCCCTGAAGTCACAATGGCATGAAATCAAGCAAAGTCAAAGGAATGAGGATGATCATAACCACATGGATTAGTACAGAAATAGTTTGCACTGGGAATGGCTAATTCTGTTAGTTTTTAGAAGAGGCTGCTCTTACATTCATACACTTTTAAAAGAGAGTGTGAATTCTCTGCCAGTTTGAGAACATCAGACCTCACCTCATTACTAACAAGCACAACGTCTTGGCCACCGTGCTTCTTGCAATCACAAGATACTCACCTGCGACTCCTGCTTCCTCCTCGTGCATTTACAGGTTGTTCCAACTCAGAATCACTGTCATTCTCATCTGCTTCATCTGATTCATCTTCATTATCATCTGAATGCAGATCTTTCATTATAGACCTCAACGGACCTGAAACAGAAACAATAAAATATACAAATGAAGTTCACTTTGCAGTGTTCCACGCAATTCACCCAGCTTTGCAGACGACAGAAAACTACCCTCTCTGTACAGTGTTGGGAGAGGAGAGTCTTATACACTAAACAAATGAAGAAACCCACTGGGGGCTTATGCTGCAGGGACTTATCCATGAATCATTTACTCACACAAGCAACTTGGTCAGCTTCAGTAGACTCACTCATGACAGTGCAGTGATTCATATGCTCAAGTGTTTGCATGACTGGCCTCCTAGACCATAGCTAAAGTAAGTAAAATACTGTCATGCCAGGAGAAACTGACTATTACTGTATTATTATTAGAACAAGAGTCCTTTGCCTTGCTGGCTTTTAGCATTTTTTGCTTTCTCAAAGGGTATTATTTGTGAGTAAATATCTACAGGGAGGTACTGATCAGTAATAGTACATTTGTTAGGTTAATCCATGTATTGAGAAGCAGAGTCTAACAAATCATTCTGACTCGTACTGGTCAAGGCAGTCTTTGTCTTCTTGGTTTTTATATATCTAGTTTCAGCTGTCCCCTTTACTTCGGGGTCAATTTCAGGTCAAGTAAGCACTTTGCCAATGTTCACATATAAAAAGTTCATCAATCCCACGTAACACCATGCTATGTCCTTTCCTCAATTAACAGAAAGTACAAAGCTTGACTTACTCATAAAACTATATTAAATTCAGTTTTGGATTTTGGTTTCATTTTACTGAATTTATTTTGCTGTAAAAAGCAGTTACAGAAAGAGGAATACATTTAACATATCTGGGAAATGTAAAACAACTGCTGCTTGAAACAAGCATGTGCAAAAGCAGCTCAATGGTTTAAAATCACCAGATCATTGGTTTCTTTTCTCTGCTTTCACGCCTGGGAAGAAGCCTAATGGTGCTGATGGGCAAACTGCTGGTGGACCAGACACTTGTACAGGCAACAAGGAAAGAGAAGCTATACCGAAGTGCCTGTCCATACAACCAACGCTGCTCTGCACTCGATTTTCTGTTCCTGTTTGGGTCTCAGGCAAACAATGCTCAGGTATTTGCAAAAGGCAACTTAGAGTCTCACTAAATATCTAATCATCGACTCTTGAAAGTGGGAAAGGATTCCTTCCTTGGCTTTTAATAGAAGCAGTAAGGGCAGCACAAGGGTATTTCCACAGGCTAGTCTTAGCCTAGAAAGGCTCGTTTCCTTACACCTTAGTGGGCAAAGACACTAATAACCACCATCAAAGTCCTACTGCAGATGGTTGTCTTTGTCTGCACTGAGAGCAGATGAGTCTCACACTACTCCATAGGCCAAAGTCAGCTTCTGAGAATGTATTCATCTCCTCTCCATAGCGTACAAAAGGAAGAAAATGACAGGAAAGACTTTACAGTAAAGGACAATGAAAGGAAAGCATCATCATACCCTTGATGAAAGAGCAGAAAGGAGTGGGAGGAAAGGTAAAATAATCAACCAAAACCTAATTTCATAATGAAATTTGGTATAACACAATAGCTGATCTTGCATAAAACATCAGCACGTAACTCCAGAACATGGAAACTGGTAGCTACACTTGCAAGTCACTCAAAATCTCAGTCCCTGGTTTTATTTTTAAATTGAAGCAGAAAGAAAACCAGAACACATTCCTCATGATCCCTCCAAAGCCTGCTCTCCCAAGCTTAAGATAACTCATTCTTGACTATGTCCCTTTTCCAAGTATAGCAGAGGGCCATTTTATCCCCTGGTACTCCATTTCTGTGTTCTGGGACAATCAGATAATCCTGTTCCAAGTTGCCAATAGGCTTATTCCTCCTTCTTGGAAAAAAAGGAACTTGGACTCCTGAAACACATCCATCACTGACAGCCTCACAGGCATTGAACAACCTGTCATTCAAACAAGATTCCGTTTAATGTAGGACCATGTCCGGGGCTCTGAATAGGTCTTTTGTACTCAGCCAGCTAACTTTCTCAGTGGACTTCACTAACAATCAGCAAAACATTAATTTTTAGGTCTTATGATTCTAGTACTGATAATGATGTCACTGTTAATCTTCTGCTCCTTGGTACCATTTAATTTAAAATTCCATGACAACCTTTTTATGGGTTTGAGAAGTTATCTCCTAAAGGGTCAGAATAGTTAAGAAGAAACTGAAAACTAGGAGCTGCCCGAGAGCAAGTGTTCTTCATAAGGACACAGAGAAATATCAGAGTAAGCCCCAACGGCAGAAGAACTTGAAGAACCTTAGGTTAGCCCATCGCTTATGCAAAAAGAGGTGAAAAAATGTCATGCTATGGCTTTCTGACACTTGAGTGAGCACTGGAGTTTGAACGCAACAGAAAGAGGGCAATGGGCCTGGAGAGAATCTTCTAGTTAGGGAAAAAAGCACGGGTTCTCACCAGAGCACAACATACAGTGTAAAAATCATAGAATCATAGAATGGTTTGGGTTAGAAGGGACCTTAAAGATCATCTGGTTCCAAACCCCCTGCCATGGGCAGGGACATCTCCCACTAGACCAGGTTGCTCAGAGCTCCATCCAGTCTGGCCTTAAACACTGCCAGGGAGGGGGCAGCCACAGCTTCTCTGGGCAACCTGTGCCAGTGCCTCACTGCCCTCATGGTGAAAAATTTATTCCTAATATCTAATCTAAACCTGCCCTCTTTTAGTTTAGAGCCATTCCCCCTTGTCCTATCACTACACACCCTTGCCCCAGCCTTCCTGCAGGCCCTCTTCAGGTCCCGGCAGGCTGCTCTAAGGTCACCCCAGAGCCTTCTCTGCTCCAGGCTAAACAGCCCCAACTCCCTCAGCCTGTCCTCATAGGAGAGGTACTCCAGCCCTCTGATCATCTTCGTGGCCCTCCTCTGGACCCGCTCCAACACATCCATGTCCTTCTTACACTGGGGGCTCCAGAGCTGGATGCAGTACTCCAGGGGAGGTCTCTAACATATAGTTATATAACATATAGTGCGCACTAACATATTTTCATAACCTTAAATAAGGTCTACCATTGAGGAACAAAAACAGATAAAACCAATTCAACTTTAATTAGTCAAAAGCTGCTTTGTTAATGCTCCTGATACAAAGAACAAAACGAAGGCTAATTAAGAATGTATCAGTTCTACAATCTTCTAAACCTTGTTGTACCTTGTTGTCTGCTGTTTGGAGATGGTGTAAAACTGGAACTGGAGCTGGAACTGGCAGGACTGGGCTGTTCTGACTTAAAAGGACAAAAAAAAGAAAATAAGTAACATTGTAAAGAAACATTTTTGGTAAAACTTCTACTGTTAGTTACCGCATAAGCCATGTTGTCAAGAAAAAAGAACTACAGAACAGAATAATAATCAAAGATCTTTATTTCAGGCATCAGCAAGGTAAACATTGTGGAAATTGCTATACACTCAACATACATACTCACTACTACATCTTGTCTAGTTCTTTACTAAAGCCAATATCCTAACAAAAAGTTCCTAATGGCTTGTTTAAAAGACCATACAAGGTGAGAGCCTAAACGAGTTTATAATAGACATAAGGCTCCTGTGTCCTTGTCATACTGTAGTTGCAACATTTTCCAAACTAGTTCTGATGTAGCAGAATCGAAAAACAGAAGACCTGACCAGACCACATTAAATGCCATAAAACCTCAGACAGTTTTCCTCTGTCTTCCTTATAACTAAGTCTTAAGATGGGGATTCAAAATGAATTTTTGCTGTTATTGTATTTCTCCTCACCCCAACACTTTCAGTATGTATTGAGACTCGACAGATTTTAATAGTGATTGAACCTGAAAGATTGCCTTGTTACACAGAAAAATGATTAGAAACCCAGAGGTTATAAAGAGAATTAGATTTTTAACCCAGAGTTGTCAAAATCACTTTATATTTTTTAAAAGACACTTCTATATATTTTTTCCACTACTGTTCAAAATCTGTACATTTCTCATTAAAAGTCTATAAAACTACTGAGGAAGGCCTATTACTTAAACTAAAAATTCCATATAATTTTTCTCATAGTGGTTATGGCTTACAAGGGTCGTACTGACAGAAGTCTTGCTTCCTGCTGCATGTTGCATAGAATCACAGAATGTTCAGGGTTGGAAGGGACCTCTGGGGAATCATCTGGTCCACCGCCCTGCCAAAGCAGGGTCACCTACAGCAGGCTGCACAGGACTGCGTCCAGGCGGGTCTTGAATATCTCCAGAGAAGGAGACTCCACCACCTCCCTGGGCAGCCTGTTCCAGTGCTCCGTCACCCTCACAGTGAAGCAGTTCTTCCTTACATTCACATGGAACTTACTATGGTTCAGTGTGTGCCCGTTGCCCCTTGGCACCACTGAAGAGTCTGGCAGTAATATTCAGTCACTGTAAAACTCAGTTTTCACACATACAGGCTACCTAATCCTAACAGTTGTTTTTTCTCCATAAATCAATCTATTGTTGCCTTTCATAATGAGCAGGCACATTTACAGCCTTTTAACGCCTCTTCACACAATGAGATGCGCCTATCTGGCCAGCAGAACGCTTGAGAAAAACACCATTAACATCTGCTCTCCTCATATCAATACCAGCACCAGTTCTCACTGACACACAGTCAAAATACAAACTCTGGACCTGGCTGTATGGGTATATACAGCTTTTATACAGGTGAATCAAATCCGTGCAAGAAACCCCAACCCAACCAACAACACAACCTACTTCTGAGTAACAAGAGAGATTCTTACACAGTACATGGCATCAGACCTTTCTGGAAGACACTGCAGCATCACTTGACGCTGCTCCAAAAATCAACTAATTCTAAAAAAACTTTTTTTTCCGCCTCCACTGCCTGAATTCTGGCAAAACCATACAAGATTTTTAGCTGCAAAATAATTAAGGTAAGATGAAACAGACTGCACTGATGAAGAACTAGAGTCAATGAAAACGTCAAAGGCATCACCATTCTGGAAAAGAATTGCAGTTTTCCAGATTCAGGTTACTCTTACTGGTTTACCTGTCAGTTTCTGGTTTTTGCAGTAAAATTACTAGCTGACAACTGGTTTCTGCAGATTTACATTTACTGTATTTTTCCTTTATTTATTTCAACATGAACTTTAACTTCTGTAAAATCCATTTCTTTAAAAAAGCAACAAACACTAAAAGACTACCATTAAAAAATCACACAGGTGCAGAGATATTTGTCACTATTAAAACTTCACTACTTTCTTTTTGAACTGGAAACAAAAAAGGCAAAAGGCCTGGTCTCATTCACATAATAAGGCATGCAAACGCCAGTGAAATTTCTCTGTGTCAAAATTTTCTCCAGCATTAACTAACTGAGACAGGATCACAAGAAGAAATGAATACACACAAAATCGTTATAACACCTTCCTGATACAAATTTCGCTCTGATTCAGCAAGGTCACATCGACAAGCCAAAACACAGAAAATCCCAGAGAAACTCAAATGTTCATCCATATTTTAAAAAGAGTTCTTAATACCTTTTGAAACAATTTACATTCTTTTCTTAAACAGTCATCTCTGAAAATTAATTCCAAGAAATACAGATTAGCATAAATATTAAAATTGTTAAGTATCCAAAATTAAACTTAGCTTTTTTGACTTTGAGAAATCTGGGGTGAGAGTGCACGGAGAGGAAACAGCTGCTTTTAACGTAAGAATGAACGTTATTAACAGAAAAGACTTGCCTTTTTAGAAGGAACTAAAAATATGCCTTTCACATATGAATATGGATTAGTGCCGACAGTATCAATGCTTCTAGTTACCAGAGACTTTTGTCACTTAAGCAATGCTTTTTGACAGTTTTACAGGCTGTTATCCCAAGGACTTAGGTATTTATGGCTTTACTCACTTGAGCTTTCTGTTCTTATCCACTGTTACTAATCACCAAACAGTTTTCTTTTTTTTATGGGTCTGAAATTAGCTAAAGGGTGCCCTTCAACAATAAAAAGCTTAAGACAGTACCAGCAAAGAGCTTCTCTTATTTATCCTTTTCCTGCTGTACTAGTTTTCTCTTCCTGCATACAAGCTAATGAGAGTTTGGGCCCAAACTCTTCATTAGTGCAATGACCCGATATGATTTATCGCATTCTTAGACAGCCTATTTCATTTTAGTGCTCTCACACTGATGCACGGGAGACACTGGCTTCTTTATTAGGCCTGGTTGAGGGATTTGGTGCTTTGAAACTGTTCGACAAGAAAAGGGCTCAAGTTTTCCCTGAAAAGGTACCTTTTTCAGCAGCTCTAAATCATTTGGCCTCTGTAATTTCCAAACTCTTGTCTGTTTTTACAAGTAGTACAACAACTTCCTATTGAGCTGCAAAAAATTTTCAGGCAAACTCACCTGTTTATGGCACAGAATATAACAGAGCTGTTTCTGTAATATTTCATGGTTGTCTGGATTTATATAACTATTTCTAAAAATAAACCCCATCACCTCGATCTCCTTACATTAAAAAATAGAAAACGTCTGTATGTGGGTGACAATGGCTTTTCTGGCTTTCCCCTAAACCATTGTTAAAGGAAGCTTACATATTGTTTCCTGAAATAAAATTTAAGCAGTGTAGTAATATCCTTTTTCATATCAGCCAGTCTACATATTTCTTATTTTTACGCACAACAGTCTAAAGATTTGTTTCCCAGTGCCACACATACTGAAAAGTCTACTCACTTGAAACTGCTTACAGGCAAGTATTACTTCCATTTTGTCCAAAGTTGGCTTCTCAAGGAGGAAGAACATGTTCGCCCAGGACAAGCCTTCCTCTCTAACCGGACACCTGCACTTACACCTTCTACTGCCCCTGTCACTGACCACTGCCTCAGCTTTTAGTAATCCACCCCATCAGTAGCTCAAAGGACAGAAAAACCCCACCTCATCCATCAAGTGTCCACATCTGCCACCACCTAGGGGAGACACCGCCTGGGTGTCCGTGGTACCAAAGGCCTGAACTGAGCTGCCTGCATCTGCCCAAACTCTGTATTGCCACATCTCCTGTCAAGCTGCTACATCAGCAATTAACCTCCAAGGCAGGGTAAAACTGTTCATTTTTAATCATTCACAAAAGTTAGCTTACAGACTGCAAGCTCACAGGGAATATGGAAGAACAGGGCTATGGAGGGGGAAGTGGAATTCATTATTTTCTTATAGAAATGGAAATATTTATTCATAACTTTGACATTTAAGGAACTGAAATATTTACATAAGTAATTAAAGATTAAGACGATGTAAAATTTGAACAGGAAATGCCAGATTATTGATTTTTGAGAGGAGACAGAGACAGTCAATTGGCAGAGAATGTGACTAAGATATCAATACAATTAACTGCCTTAATTATTTACAGTAATTTCAAACAATCAAAACCGTATCACTGATGGAGGTGAGGTTATTTGTTAATTAAGTTGACCCTGTACCTGCTACTTAAGCAAGTCCATGGACCCTGATGGGATGCATTCATAAGTGCTGAGGGAGCTTGGCAGATGTCATTGCAAGACCACTCTCGATAATCTCTGACTGATCATGGTGACTGGGAAAAGTGCCCAAATGTCACTCCAGTCTTCAAGAAGTGCAAGGAGGAGGAACCCAGGGTACTGCAGGATGGTCAGCCACACCTCGAACCCTGGGAAGGTGATAGAGCAGCTAATCCTGGAGGCCATCAACAAGCAAGTGGAAGAAAAGAAGGTTATCAGGAGTAGTCAGCATGGATTCACCAAGGGGAAATCATGCCTGACCAATCTGATGATAGCTTTCTACGATGGCATGACTGGCTGGGTACATGAGGGGAGAGCCGTGGATGTTGTCTACCTAGACTTCAGCAAGGCTTTCGACACAGTCTCCCATAATATCCTCCTAGGGAAGCTCAGGAAGTATGGGCTGGATGAGTGGTCGGTAAGGTGGATTGAGAACTGGCTGAATGGCAGAACTCAGAGGGTTGTCATCAGCAGCGCTGAGTCTAGTTGGAGGCCGGTAACTAGTGGTGTCCCCCAGGGGTCAGTACTGGGCCCAGTCTTGTTCAACTTCTTCATCAATGACCTGGATGAAGAGTTAGAATGTACCCTCAGCAAGTTTGCTGATGACACCAAACTGGGAGGGTGTGGTGGATACACAGAAGGCTGTGCTGCCATTCAGTGAGACCTGGACAGGCTGGAATGTTGGGCAGAGAGGAACCTGATGAAAGTCAACAAGGGCAAGTGCAGGGTCCTGCTTGGCCATGACAGCTGAAGTCATC